GCTTTTTGCTGCTCCTAGCCATGCTGAGCTGATCTGGGGAAAGATATTGTCTGGGAAAAGATATTGTTCCAGGGCACCCTTATTGGGAAACAGTTGGTTTTTGCTGAGTGCTCAGGTCCAGGCAAGGAATAGCAGGAATTCTTGAGTGGGGCCTTAAAGCAAGGGTAATACTTGAACAAACAGAAAGGAGGGCTTTCCAGGAGGGATAGCAGCATGAGCAAAAGAAGAAGAAAATAGGGGTTTTTGTAGAGGCTGTAATTAAAGGAGAGGCACCTAGTTTGGCCTTTTTCCTCAAGTCATGCTCTTGGCCTTACAAGATCCAGAATATGAAGATTAAAAAGAAACAGGCCATTGTAGAAGCTCAGTAAGGGCAGGTCTTGGAGCAGTTTCATCAACAATGTATTCTCAGTATTTGGACTCAGTAAGCCAACAATGACTATTTGCTAAATGACTAAGTTGATCAAAATAAAAGAATATGATTAGCTTCCATTAATCAGCTGCTTATTATGTGCCAGACATTGTGCCAAGCTCTTGACATCAAATCCTTGCACTGATGGTATGAAGCAGATTTTCTTATTTTTCAAATATGGTCCAGCCTATAGCAAAATTATGACAGGGATGATTTTTTATCTTTGGGACCCCAGGACCCTTTCCCCAAGGATCTGAGATCCAAGACTTTCAGTTACTCTTTCCACTACCCAAATTGTCTGCTCCCCACCCCAAGCCTGGTGGTATCAGATTGCTGAATAAAGCAGTCCTAAATTATGTACTTCCAGGAGTCCCAGACTTCTGGGTATCCTGGGGTCACATGTACCTGGGGACTTGCTGAACTTTAATGCATGGATCTGGAGGCAACAATCACTGGGATTCTTGGTTTTCTTACCTACAGGGAACCATCACATTGTGGTGGACACTTCAAACTAGAAGAAAAGGAAAGGGTTCTGATCCACTCCTGCCTCTACCCCACATGGGAGGAGAACCCTGGACCTCATCTGAGGAGATCGCCTATGTCTGGATACAGGAGGGTATGCCAACCCAGAGGTGTTTTGCTCAGATTCCCCCTTAAAGAAAGGGCTCATGGCCCAACTGTGGTCAGTGTGGTCAGCTGACAGTCTCTGCTCTTTACTCAATCAGATCTGTGTCAGTTCTGGAGCTGAGTGCTGGTCTTTTCGGGGTGGCCCCAGCCAGTGACTGAGCAAGCCTGTCTGTTCCTATCTGACATGGGACTGCTCACATGCTCCAGAGCTTCCCACTGGGCTGAAGGACGCTTTGTCAGAGCTACGACGTGGCCTGGAGACTCCCCTTCCCTCATCCTGCTTCCTCCGTTCTCCTTTCAGAAGTGTTATTCCCCAGTAAACCTTTCCGTTCCTGAGTCTGTCTTGGCATCTGCTTCCCAGAGGACCCAGGTGCTGCAGATGGGGTGCTGTTAGCCCCAGGCAACCCTTCATCGGTGAAGGAAGTGGCTGTTTCAGAAATGGTTTGAACTGGTACCAGCACAACATATGATCACCCTAGGTGCTAGGGACCAAGAAATACTTTCACTCTGGCACATGAATCAAATAAGCTTGTGTTTCTTGCTATTCTTCTTGGCAGTGACTGTCTTGATTATATAACATGGCTTGAATGTTCCCACAGCCTTCCTCAATGAGTGATTTGTCAATTAATCAAGAGTGTGACTAAAGACAAGGTTACTCAATCCATTTCTAATCAGCCAAACCAACTAACAAACTAGTTAGTTTCAATCATGCTGCTGAGTTATAAATGGATTGTTACCTGCTCTTATGTGGATTCCGTAAACGCCTTTACCCCCACACTGAGTCATGACCTAGGCCAGTTGTTTCTCAACCACCTGGCGGACCATCACCCTTCCCATGGGTCACTTATACAATGCCCTGTATTTGGTGTTGGGTGAGGAAATCTTAGTGTGGCCGGTGACCCAGGTACTTAACTTGAAGCCATGAATGGATGGAAATTGTTTTGCTTTTTGGTATGGAAGCATGTCCTAATTGCTTATTAGAAGAGCAATACTCCCCAGGTCATCCACATATCCATTCATCCATCAAATATTTGCTTAACAAGAGAGTGTCGTTACTTGTCAATCAGACTCTTGTAGCCACACTCATAGGGCCACATTTTTTGGAAATCTTCGTACAGCTTCTTCAGTAGTAACCCCCAGGCCGATACCCCTGACGATCTAAGCCATTATGTCTTTCCATTTCATCTGTCCTTCATGTCAGAAACATTAAGCTTTGATCTGTGTAGTGGAATCAGGAACAGTAGGGGGTCTGGGATCAGATAGTCTTAGGTTCAAATATGGGTTCTACACTTTCTGGCTGTATGATCTTGGTAAATTTACTTAACCTCTCTGACTTTAATTCATACCTCTGTAAAATAATAGGATAATAGGACCTATCATATAGATCTGTTATGGGGATTATATGAAATAATATTTGTAAAGCACTTATCTAATACGCAATGAGTTCTTACTCTATTTCTGTCATCAAAATGTTATTTTTAAATATCTGGCCCCTGCACAGATGATATTTATACTGCCGAAAAATACATCCCCATTATAACTATGCCTGGGTATGTGGATTCTGGCATAATCCTGTGCCTGAACAAATGTGACTTTCAATAAGACCTTTCTTTGATTAACAGATTGTTTCTAAGTTTGTTGAACTTGAGGGGCCTTAAATATAATAAAAGTAGTGGATGGGACTTGACTGTAATATAGCAGTTTGGATTCAGGTGTCACGTTTGAAATGTGGGAATATGATTGAATTTGTTTTAATACTCCGTTCTTAAAAGATTGGTAGATATTTTGGGCCTAGGCAGCTCAGCCCTGGAATGACTAGCTGCTCTTAACAAGAATCAGGACCATATTCAATTGGTCCCACAAAAGAGAAGGACCAAAGGCTAGGTCCCCAGAGTGGTGACAGAGGACGGGCTGTACACTTGGTGTGGCTGCTACTTCTGTGCTGACTGAGACGGGTGCCTCAGAATTCTGTCTGTTCCCTAGCAGAGAGGAAGGAGTCACTTTACTTGGGACACAGAGGAAGCAGAATAAGTCCCCTGTCACCCCTTCCCCATGAAACCTTTACTTCCCAGAGACCTTCTCTCGCCCTCTTCCCCGGGTTCTCAGGAGAGGACCAGAGCCCGTTAAGTACTGTGTTCTTCAGGTAAAGCTGCCCTATCTGGAGGGAAAAAATTCTTCTGGCTCTGTAATTGGAATTAGGCGGTCAGTCCTTAAGTGAATCAAATCGTGTTTTATTGTTTTCTCCCTTTTACTCCTTCATTATTAGTGGTGTCTCCGTGTTCCTATATAATTATTTTTTTACACTTTCTACTTTATAATTAGATAGTTTTCAAATCACCATCACATTGGCTGAAGGTTTCTTGCAGGCACAGCCCCTATCTTGTTTATTTCTTTAGCCCTCAAAGTGCTTGGCACAGGCCTAGTACAGAGGAGGCCTTTGGTAATGGTAGTTGAATCAAGTTGAATTGTTATTTTTCAAAAATCCTTTAATAGCATCATCTCTTAAAGCAACTTGCTGCATCACAGACAAAATTCCTCTACAGTCAGATGCTGTGTTCTGTGTATTCCGAATTATACACTAGATGTATTCCCTGTCAAGGGGTGGCCAGGGGAACTTTTATAAATTGAATCCTTATTCCATGTATCATCTGGAGAAGCTAACAACAGTGGTTACTATTTTATTTTATTTACTTATTTTTACCATCCTTGCTCACCTCTCTACCTCTTCCCATCCTCCCCAGTATAGCTGGTGATTCATTCACAATATAGATGTGATATTTATTGATCACTTACAAGTTGTGGGAGTGTTTTCAGATCATGATCCCACAGCTCTGACCACAAACACCTGAATGCACTACAGGAAATTCGTTAAGGAAATCCTGCTGTAAAGCTAAGCATCACTCCTGGTTGATTTAATATTAATTCAGGTTTTGTCTAGGTTTTCTTGTACTGAGTCACTAGCTGGATCGCATCCCACCTCTTGGGTACTTTCTCAGCTTCGATCTTACTGTGTTTACAGGCTGTCCTGGCAATGCTTAAGTCAGCCACCCAAAAATGTAGTTGACTTGAGATGGAAGTGAAGAGCTACAGTGGGAAATAGTCAACTCAGGTCTTGGTGGATAAGGTCATCTACAACATAGGCTTCTGACCATAGACTTCAGTCAGTCCTATGCTGTCTCTCTACTCCTGTGGCTCAACAATATAAATTAGGAGGTCACTACCCAAAAGTAATATTCCTATTTACAAGAGGATTTTTTATAAGGTTCCTTCTAGCAAGAATCCCTAGTGCCTTTAAGGTAGGATTTAGTGTGCAATCATTCCAAAGGCTATACTAGGTATCAGGTGCGTGTTAGGTACAAAGGTAACACGAAGGACCTCTCCAGCAGAAGCGGAGGGTTGCAAATAGAGCTATGATGTAAGACCGCAGGACTAGGAGTGCTGGTGGGATGGGATGGGGGGAGAATGTGCAGCCATGGGAGCTGACTGTCCCCAGCATCAAAATGCAGGAAGAGTGGGGTTCACTTTGCAAACGTGGCTGCTCATGGGCTGCCATCTATTTTTGAGGAAATCCAAATGGAAGGAATAAAGCACACAGCCTGTCCACACATAATCGGCTTTCTGATTCCAAGCCAGATCCCAGTTAAATCTGGTTCCCATAGGCAGCTTTTATAGTTATTTTTCCACTGTTTTTCTTGAGTACGTGTTTTGAGAAATTTAAGGTCCCTAAGTAGATCTAAAAGAGGTAAGACTGCCAAGTTTCTAAAGGGCAGGAACAATCCTTGGCTCACACCAGTGAATGACAGACCAATTCCAGGAGAGGGAGGAGGGAAGGTGGTGCCCCAGTGACAGAAAACTGGACCCAGGACGGATATAAAAACAGGAGAGCCGGGGATAGGGGCCACCAGAAGACAAAGACACACTCCCAGTGACCGCTGGGGAGACAGCGCTGTTCCCTCCACGATGAAGCTGCTGTTGCTGTGTCTGGGGCTGACTCTAGTCTGTGCCCACGAGGAGGGAGGCAGTGAGGTTGTGAGAAGCAACTTCGATGTTCAGAAGGTAGACTTGGTAGAGTTCTGACTTTGGGGGGACGGTTTGGAGGATTCTGAACCAGGATGGCCCTACTGCTGGGCAGGGGTTTCTTGACCTATTAGACAAAAGGGGTGGTTCTAGACCTTCAACTAAGAGCAATTGTATAATGTTAAAAGATGGCAGCACCTGGGGATCTCCATTCTCACTGGCGGGACGGTGGGAAGAGCCCTAGATGTGCCAACTGACCTGAGTTCTAATTGCGTTTTCGCATCTGTTATGAGTCCTGGCCCACAGGCGAGAGCTCAAGGAGAAAGTGTTCGTGTGATGTCCCTCTCCTCTTTTCTTACCCAATCATCTTCCTGATTCATTGCAGATTTCAGGGGACTGGTATTCCATTCTCTTGGCCTCAGACGCCAAGGAAAAGATAGAAGAAAATAGTAGCATGAGAGCTTTTGTGGAACACATCCAGACCTGGGACAACTCTTCTCTGACTTTTACATTTCATGTAAAGTAAGTGTGGCCTTTTCTTACTTGGGAAAGGAAAAAAAGGGCTGAGTATGGTCTTAGACCTCTACACACACACACACACACACACACGCATGTATACACATACAGTCTGGGTCTATATCAAAATCAGAGTCCATCGTCTGGCACTGATCCAGGACTTGATGAACCTGGGCCTTTCTAGATTCAGGGATAAGAAACGGTGACGGGAATAAATTTAAATGGGAGTAGAGGGGGTAAGGGGCCGAGGAGTGTCAGTCTCACCTGTAGCATGGCAATGCAACATAGAATAAGAGCACAGGATTCGGGATCAACAGCCTGTCTCTTGAATCTATATCTTACTAGTTGTGTGACCAAGAAAATTCCTCTCTTTCATGGTAAAGGAGGGTAATGATTCTCTCTCGTGGTTTTTCATGAGGACCTAGTGAGGCAGTGTTTGTAAAGCACCTGCCTGGGAGGCTGGCACATGGTGAGAACTCAGTTCAGTATCTAGATGAGGAGCTGTAGTAATAGTACTAGTGGGAGGTAGTGGTACAGGAACAGTGATAGAAGTGTCAAATAAAGCGAAATAATGTAAATAAAAGCTCTTTGGAAGTTTCACAAAAAGATGTTCGACAGGTAGTGGAATCAGAAACTCAAGTTACAGGTCGAGTGTGAGGAAGCCGGCCTCATCAGTATGTCTTGGACATCAGCTCGTTCTGTTTTACAGGGTAAATGGACAGTGTACTGAAATTGTTTTGCTTTGTGATGAAACAGAAAAGAGCGGTGTATATAGTGCTGCCTGTAAGTATATAAAACAAAGTCTTTTTCAACTTGCTTCCAACAGCAAAGGAATTACTAAACCCCAATATCTTCAGGATCTTGATCAATTTTTGATGAGTGCTTATTTAGATAATATAATGGGCACCATCTAATAGCCAATATCCTGAATTTGGGAGAGCCACTGTGTAAAAGCCAATGCCTGGTACATAATACCATCAGATAAAGAAAACAATTTGATCATATATACCTCGTGCTACAAAGGAAAATTGGCAAAAAAAAAAAAAAAAGTTAATTTCTTAGGACAGCTTCTCCTTCCATGACCACTTTCTGCTGACGGCTGGGGACCACTGCCATTACACATTACTCAGGATGTAGTGCTGGGTCTGTAATGCCAGCGGGGTGTATAGATTGGAGACACACTGTTAGCAGAGATGGCTGAGCGAGGGAGGTGAGTCTGAGGGAGGATGATAGAAGGTAAGTTGTCACTGTGGCTAAATTTTTCCACCATGAGCAGTCAACCTACCAGTGTCCCTTAGAAGTACCTCATGAAGTGTGGTGAGATCCATTGGGAGGCAGTGGGTGTCACTCTCTGTCTCTTCCAGGATATGTACTCGAATCTGTTTTGTGGGCAAGAATTAGGGAAAGGGTTTCACTTGCTTCCCATGAGTCAAAAAGTTCTGAGCGGCATTCTGTTTCCTCCACAGATGATGGACACAATCTATTTCACATAGTTGAAGCTGTCTATGACGAACATATTATTTTTCATCTCACAAATTTCAATGATGGGAAACCATTCCAAGTGATGGAGCTCTATGGTAGAGTGTTTTCACGTTGACATTCATTTTGGGGTTGGGAGGGAGGAAGGAAGCCTGTAGACAAAGGGGTGGTTCTGATCTTGTCCTGGGATGTCCCCCCCCCCCCTGAAGACGGATGCTGCCCTTTGGTAATCTCTCGGGCTTGGTGATGGGAAGATGATGAAAATCTCTCATCGTGCCAGAAGGATCTCCTAAAGATACCAAATTCAAGACAGGGTGCATCCCATCCCCAGGGCTGCTGCCTAAGCCCCTAATCAAATCAGGGCCATTCATTTCCCATCCATCTGGAGCCCCACCCCTCATGAGCCTCAGGGACAGATACACAGGCACAGCAATTACTGTCACTCTTCCCACAGCCCGAGAACCAGATGTGAGTCTAGAACTCAAGAAAAAGTTTGAGAAAATTTGCCAAGACTTTGGAATTGTTAAGGAAAACATTATTGACCTCACCAAAATCGGTAAGTTTAGCCATCTCTGGTTTTTTCTTCCTAAATTCCCTTGTTAGTGAAGGGAGAAATCCCAGAGGAGGTACAACCCCTCTGTCCTGACCTGGAGAGCCCTTTGGTTTCCCTCTGGGAAATAAACTGGGGTTGGTGTCTGAACACGCTCTGCTCTGCCTCTACAGATCGCTGTCTGCAGTTCCGAGGGAGTGGAGAGGCCCAGGCCTCCAGGTTGGTGAGCTCCAGTGGAGAGGGGGTGGCGCGGGGATCGGTGCCTTCCAAAGGCATTAGGGGTTTATGTCCAAAGCTTACAATGCAAGTGATTTGGCAGGGAAGCTTGTGAGGAGAGCTTGAAATTTGGACTTGGAGGACCTGAGCTCAGGACCCACCGGTACCAGGAGCTTTTGAGCAAAGGACCTAAGCAATTAAAAGGGAAACGATGATGTCATTCAGCTTTACAGAATTACCAAGTGGATACAATGCCAGTGAAAAGGGCTCGGTAATTGATAATGTGCTAAAAATCATTCGGACTTAAAGTTTGAAATGGGAAAAAATAGGGTATGAATATGAAACTCAAATCTGTTTCTACATCTGTGCCCATCACCCCCTCCAATTCATGGTGAAAAATCTCTTCCTTTGGTCTTAGCACATCCTTAACTTCTAATCTGGGAATAGAGCTGTCTGAACTTCCAGTTGTCTTCCAACCTGGAAAACAGACTCGCAGTTTCCTCATCTGTTTCTTACCTTGGATTTATTGTGGGGCTTCATTCAGATTCTCTATGTGAAAGCCTTAGCAGCTACAGCTTCCCTAAAGGAAGCATGTAGTAAGAAGTAGCTATGACTTTTACTATTACTCCTCAATTTACCAAAAATTCTTCAAAACTTCTAATGCTGTAGGTGGCAGAAACAAGCTGTTTTTATAGACTCAGCTGGGGGAAAGTTAAGAGGAAATCAGCAATAGGAAAAAAAGTCATTTATTCAGTGCCTTTCCTCCCCATATTCTGGTAAATACCACAGGCTAGATTTTCTTTATAATAGAGATTCTCTTTGTCCTCAATTCAATCCAAGAAGAGCTTAATAAGTTCCTGTGCTCTTTTTTCACCTGCTGAGTTAGTGCTGAGTGAATACTTCCTCACCTGAGCTCCAGGATCTTCCCCGCCACGGTCCCCACGTCATCTTGTGACAAGTTTCTGTGACCTGATTTCCCTCGCGGTGACACATGAAGCCACTATCTCTGCATCTTCAGGGTCTTCCCTAATTGTCTAGGAAGACTCATCATCTACCCAAGCATCAAAAGGTTTTCTTCAAATTTCCTACTCTCCTGGCCATGCCCAGGAAAACTCTACAATGAATAAGACCTTCTCTACCTGGTCAATAAATGATTAGCCTCGCAGTCATGTGATTTGTCTTTGTGTATGGGAGAGACATGAGGGGACTTCCTCAGCCCTGCGCCCATAACCCTTCCCTAGCTTCTCGGAATCTTCCAAGGGTCAGGATTCCCCTCCTCTGCAGTAATTCTCTGTCTCCATGAGTACCACTTGATCTTTGGTTTGCCTATTTCTCAGTGACCTGGTAAGACAAACTATAAGACTTACCCCATGATTCACCTCATCCTAGGATTCTCTTTTTTGTGGACTACTGGGATAGCTGCTGCTGAGGCTGGTACCAGCTTGACACATTTCAGGGAATGCCTCCATATCCCAGCTTCTCTATATCACCATCCTATGAGATGGTCATTATCCTGCCATACTCTTGGGAAACCTCCTTCAACCACCACTGTGAGCTACTGTGAACATCCTGAGATTACACTCAGTGTGAGCAATGCCTGTCTTCAGCAGTCTGTACTTGGTACAATTAGGAGGCTTGAAGGAGGCTACATATTATGAACCTCTTCTTTTGGGAGCTTATCGGCTTTAGAGAAAGGGAAATGAAAGATCTTCCTCCACTTAGAATCCTTTCCCAACAATGTGAAAGTTACACACGGGTGTCGGGGCAGAGTAAAACATGGGTGGGGTTTGTCATACTAAAAGAATGACTCAGTCATTATGGACCTAAGGTTAATGAGAGAAGGCTAAGGTTAATGACACTACAGATGAGAAGAAAATGGCCGCCTGTATCATTGAGAATGTTTAGCACATTAACAACAATAACCAAGAAGGTCATTGATGAGGGGAGATGGCTGGGTAGTGCCGTGTGTCAGGAAACTACAGCCAAAAGGGAGCACGAAAAAGATCCTTAGCAAAGCTGGGCTACCTTCTTTCTCTACTTGTAGCCCGGCTGGCTCTAGCTCGAGTCCCTCCCTTTTGTAAGGTTTGCTCAAAGCAGTAGGAAGTCATGGATGATACCAATATTCCAACACATCGAGTCTTTAATATTTGTCCCCCCAGCTCCACAGCCTTTGTTAGCATATGGTCTATTTTCCAAGGTAGGGCAGGTATTTGACCAAATGCTTTCCCAACATGTAACTAGAGTTCCCAGCTTTCCAGGCTGTGATAGCTGAACCCTTGATGTCCAACACCAGCCTTCCTCCAGTGAACTGGTGCACCTCTTAGGTTCCATCAGTGGCCTCGGCTAGCAAGTCTCCACCATGGCTCATACTTTTTAAACTAGCTTTAACTAATTAAAATTCTAATAAAGCCAGACATTTCACTTACTAATGAAGATCTAAGTCAGTTAAAGGGCCTCTGAAATGAGCAATTTATGTTTTAAAAAGATCAAAGCCTGGGGATGTCTGCCAGCTAGTTTCCCTAAGGATACTGATCTAAGTCTCCATCCAAGTTGAGGTGAATTACCCTCCACATTCTGTATACCTGCCCTGTTAATGTAAAAGTATCCCTAGTCTAATTGGCTTTGAATGTTCTCTTTGACATTAAGATGTCTGGACTTTAAAAACTCATTATTTTTTCCTGGGCACGTAACATTTGCTTTTAAAGCCCCAAACACTAATTGCTTTTCTTTGGGCAGTACATGCCCTTAGTGGCCATGACGCCCCCAGAAAACGAGTGGGTGTATTTTTTTTTTTTTAAGTTAAGAGCATTGAGACTCTCACCATCTCCATTTATACCTTACTGCACTAAATGAATGCCATTGACAAACTGATTTAATAGCATATCATTGTCAGCAACATAAATGTGAATTTTGTTCAGTGAGTTAACAGGGAACATACTAGATTTATATTAGAATTATTAGATCTCAAAAACAAACAGTTGAGTGAAAAAAGCTAGTTGTTGAATGATGTGTGCAGTATGACACCATTTATATAAATGTTAAATAACAGAACAGTGCCATCTATTATTTGTGGAGTCCAGGGTGTGATGATGCAGTGCTTCTCATAATGGGCACACAAATCACCCAGGGAGCTTTGTAACCTGCAGGCTCTGGTTTAGCATGTCTCTGGTGGGGCCTGAGATTCTGCTTTCCAACAAGCTGCTGGAGATGTCAGTGCTGTCCCACCTTGAGGAGGGGGTGACCCAGGTAAAGGGAGGTAACTCTTACCTTCGTCTGTGCAGCTAGTCTTGGACTGGTCGGCTCCACCTGGGCCCTGGCACCTCTCAGGTGTACTTCCCGACTCTCGTGAAGGGATTCTCGTCCAGGAGTGGCTGTTAAAATGGGTGTTTCTGTGGGGTCTGAGGGTTGGTATCTCTTCTTTCACCATCTTGCTGATGTCATCCCAGATCATTTTGTCTAAAAAATACATGTATGAGAGAAAGACATTGAGTTTTCAAACCTATTCTTTAATTTTTAATAATATCTTGTGAAATCAGGGATTGAATGAAAGTTATGGTGAAATCAGCCATCAACGGAGCTATGTACTATTTCTTGGGACACTTTGTTCGGGTCCTGGAGAGGCAAGCTCACAGCTAGATCCCACTGGGGATGTCCCACCATGATTTTAAATCCTAAACTGTTTTGGATGAGCTCCTAATCACCTTACCATATGCTATCACCTCCCTGCCTATCAACACATTCTTAGGGTCTGAAAAGAAGTGTTGTTTAAAGGAAGGGAAATAAATGTGCTGCAAGAAGCACCACAGAATAATAATCAAATGCAGGCAAGTGTGAATTAGGATCACTGAGTAGATCACATAACACATAAGCCACATGTCCTCCCAAGAGTTGAAGAAGTATGCGAGGGAAATGCACTCGTGCATCAAAAATGTAGTTAGGAAGCTCTGTGCCTGGCATACAGCTGGGCGGGAGAAATGCATCCTGTTTCTGCTGTAATAAATCACCACAGACTAAGTGGCTTAAAACAGCACGTATTTGTTATATTAAAGTTTTTGAGGTCAGAAGTCTGACACTGGACTCACTGGGCCAAAACCAAGTCAATTTTTTCAGATCATCTTCTATGTCCTTTCTTGCAGTTTTAAAGTGTTCTCCTTGGTAATCTTGTATAATCTTGATTGTTAATTCCTGTATGTTACTTTCACAGTTTGTTTTGTTTTGTTTTGTTTTGTTTACCCATTAGTTATTATCATGAAGTTTTGCTGGCATAAAGAAACGTTTTTGATTTTTTGTAAGTTGATCTCTCTAGCAACCTTGATGAAATTTTTTATTAGTCATAATAAAAGTAGTTCTAATACTTTGTGGGTTCTGTTAGTTTTATAGGTATGGTCATGTCATCTGCAAATAATGTCAATGTGTCTCTTCCAGTTCTTACGCTTTTCTTTCTTTTTTCCTTTCCTTATAACTTCAGCCAGAACCTCCAGGAATCTGTTAAACATTGCAACCATATTTTCTATACCAGAGGTTGGCAAACTATATCCCATAGGTTAAATCCAGCCCACTGCCTATTTTTGTATAGCCATGAGCCAAGAATATTTGCAATCCATGTGATATTAGGAACATTTAATTTTCAACCCCAATTAAGCAAAATGTTATCCCAAAAAAGAACTACATTTTTCTCACCATAGACCTGTATTTTAAAAAATGGATTCAATATATTTTGAATTGCATCAAAAAATGTGGAAATGTGTTTTCTCTATTATTTTATTAGTACTTACATAACATCTTTGATTTTTCTTCTTGGCCAACAAAGCCTGGAATATTTACTATGTGGTCCTTTAGAGAAAAAGTTTGCTGGCCCCCTTCTCTATACCACGGCTTCACCCTGACTTCCATTTAGTATAGTTTGTGCTGCATTTTCCCCCCAATAAACAATGAGTTTGTCAGACTGAACCCCTCATCATGCCCTTAGCAAAATGGACATTAAATTATATGACTGTGAGGTTAAGGAGATATTTGTAAGTTGTCCTGTTGCTGCTCTCCTTTAACTCCCATGCAGGGGTGACCTTACCATGTATGTAATTATTGAATCACTATGTTGTACATCCAAAAACAATATAATAGTGTCTATCAACTATATTCCAATATAAATAAATAAATAAATACCATGAATAACTTAAACCCAAGTGCAGGAAATTTAGATAAATGTCAAATAAACTTCCAGACTAAATATCAAACCAGGACATCCTGAGGTTACTTTGGGGCTTCAAGGACAATGACAAGGTTTTCAAATCTCTTATTCTTGGCTTAGAGGACTTTGTTATTTTGATTCTCTCATCCTAGGACAGAACAGTAGTTGAAATGATCTGTTTCCAGAAGGAGGCCCATCAAGATCCTAGCTGTTGTTCTTTAAAATTAGCATTTCGGAAACATTGTTCTGTTGGTTTCAAAAAAATTTATGACAGCTGTTTTGGTTATTAGAAAAATAGATGATTACTGGCTAACAGCTTGGCAGAGAAAGGTGGAGAATTGGAGTGCCAGGCTGTTCAGGAGAGCTGGGCCCTGGAAACAGGAGCTGGCCAGCAGCACTGAGATCCCGCTGCTGGGATCCCACAACCTAAAACAAGCACCTGCATTGTCTCATGTTTCTGTTAAGCCTGATGTAGCAATGCACTTTTCCTCTGTACCTATGAGCTAACAAAATTCCTCAAACACCCCCTGAGCAATCCCACCTCTGTACCTTTAGCCTAGCTGTTCCCTTTGTCTGAAATACTTGTCCCCCAGATATCTATGTGGCCCCCTCCCTCACGACCTTCTGGACCCCGTGTGTCACTTTGGACAGAGGACCCTTCCAAACTCCAAGTATAAAGTAGCAGTTTCATCTATTTATTTGTTAATTGCCTGTGCCCACTTCCTCTAAAATGTAGGTACAATTAAGTCAAGGAGTTTATGTTGTTCACTGCAGGGCTCAACACCTCGTCTCGTGTTCAGCCTGACACAGGCTCTCCTTGTTTGCTGCCTTACTGGGACTTCTCTGACCTGCCCTGGAGGGATTCGAGGGCCCCTCTTTTTTCTCCCTTGTCTTGCCCTAATATTTTCAGGAGGAAGTCCTAGCTCAGACTAAAGAATGTGGGGCCTTTAGGATTTCGGTCATTGGTGAAATTGGAG